CTTCACTTTCCTACAGTTTTCCTGTGTGGATTGTCCCATTGCATCCCGAATGCATCTTCTGCATGTTTATAAGTTGTTGGTAAGGTCTAAAGCCTTGCTTCATTCAAATTTCATTGTGTGACAGGGTTACTTCATAGGAAATGATGCATTCTTCCACCATGAGGTTCATAATACTTGCTTTTCTGCTCTGACACTAGCAACCATTTGGTCCTCAATGCTGAGCCACAGTAACAGAGGGCCTACTCATGTCCAGATATATTAAATGTGCGTTTATATGTGGTGTGCCTGAAACATGAATAAGTCTACCCATGCTTCCCCCTTGTCCCGTTTTCCACACTGGAAGGCCAGTCCATGTAAGTGTATCTGAAATGACAGATTGATGATACTTCAGCAGAATTAAAAAATGCCAACCATGGTCTTTTCTATCATCTTGTATGTTTACATTTTATTCTTGTTTTTGCCTGTCTTTTGTAGATCAGTGAAAACTCTTGATTGTAACATGAGCTAAAAAAAAATTAGTGTGTATTACGTATATATTTGTGCTACTAGAGCAACTCAATTGTATGTATTTTAAATTAGTCCAAAGTGGACATTTTAACTCTGATAACATAAATGCTTTTAAATGTCAATGTCATTGTCGCTATTTGGGATGCATAATGTGCTTCACTTTTAAAGTTAATCACTTTTCTCACAAATTGGTATTTAAAAAAGATTAAATGTGCTTCATTTTAAAAATCTTGGTTTTTAGACTTTTTGATTCAATAATTTAAAAAGACCTTATTCATTCTATAGTACATATTTTGGTACTTAATGTGGTGATCTCAAAGACAGCTTGATTGGCTTGGAAAAAGAACATTGTTGAGAACTTTATTTTGTCACAGCTTCTAGTTTGAGAGCTTGTCTTTATGTACAAGATGTTTGTTTTTCAGTGTCTTGCAAAATTGCAGTAAATTCACATACTTTCTGCTTTTGACCCTATGTAGGCTTATTATGAGTGTAATTGATACTAAGAAAATATAAATGTGTTTTAATTGGTCTCTTGATGTACTTGAATTATGTTTGGTTGATGTATATCATAGCTCACTCGGTTATCATGGTTTTACTTTCATACTCTAATGTTGGAAGTTCACGTGTTGAGTAAGATATTGGCACTGCTTTTATATGAATGGGGTGATACCTTCATGATGCCACCTCTTTTGCAAGATAGCGTATGCAAGGCATGATTGCTTATCTAGTGTGTACACACATGAGTTTTGGTAACCTCATTTGGTTGGGTGCTCACCTGACACATAGGATCCATTAGTGTTAAAAATAAATACTGGGTCAGTAGGCTAAACCCCATGTGTCGTGGTGTTGATTATATGAGAAGGAACACATAATCGAAGGACTAGAAGAAGTACCTCAATTTACATTTGTTGTGGGAGTGTTCCACTCTGTTCTTCCAATGTACAGCCCCAAGTGGTGGGTGAGCAGCGGACTCTTGGATCATAGGCTGATAGTGCCAATTTATGTATTTTATGCTAGTTACCACTTGTTTTTAACCAGTGTTGCTTATTTGTGCTTTTCCTTGGAGGAGAAGGTAATTTGCTGATAATTCTAGATAAGTTCTACTGCTGAGTTATTAAATATGTTTTAAATCTAAGTTCCATTTCTGTAATGTGGCTGGATTGCATTGTGTGAATTTGTAACCTCACATTGGGACCCTTTCCCTTTCTTGTGAGGATCAGGATTGTGCCTGTTTCACCCTTGTATTCCTAGCAGTGGTGAAGTGGTTCACGTAGATGCCTGGTAATTTATTAATGAACAACTGAAAATGACCTGAGCTAAATATGGTGTTTACAGGAGAAAAAAAGGTGAGATAAATTTTGCATGGCTACAAGCTTAGGTATCAAATTGAAAGCATAAAGGAGCTGTTGAAAATGAAGACAGAAGGGTGGCAGTGTAGCTCCGAAGTAGATCACATGCTTGTCATGTGCAAGGATTATTTATAGGGAAGGTGGTAATGACTGTTCTGTGTAGAATGAGAGTAAGTATTGGTAATAAAAACAAAACTAATTGTATTTGCTATCTATACTATTTACTGTGTGCATGCTTTCTGGGAAGTTCCTTATACATTGGTTGACTGATAACTTGTTTTTGAATATTTTTCTTAGAAGATGTACACTTGCTATCTATAATTACAGGTGATATTTTTTGGCATATGGGGGATTGTCATTTTTCTTTTTGGGTGGGAGGGTGAGTTTCCAGTGTATGTGAGGTGATTGATGTAAGTACTGTGATGACAGCAGTCAGTTGTTCATAGAGATTAATATACCATTTTGTCGTGGTAAAGTGCTTCTTACTCTCTGTCACTTTCAACATTGTAGACCATCTCCCTCGGTAATCTCATCTTCCTTCAAGTCACTGACTTAGATTTTAAATGCCAGGTTTCACTTCCTCACTGAATTTTTGTACTTGTGCAGTATGAGGAGCTTTTGTAGCTTGTGTGTGTGTGTGTGTGTGTGTGTGTGTGTGTGTGTGTATCTGAGACAACAGTATTACTATTGGAGCAAAATTTCAAATTTCCATCAAAATACTTCAATTTGAATGCAAAAGATTTTACAGCTTCCTTTGTATTTCATTCTGACACTCAACAACTTACCTCTTTAAAGCCCTGGAGTATGCTGAAATATGCTGTGTTCTTTTCTTTTCCATAATTGGTAGAAGAATCAGGAAAGGAAATGTGATACATCACATACACATGTGGCAGCAGCTTGCCTGTGTGAAGTGAACTGTTCTGTGGGTTGAAAATCTTAGTTTGCACTCATACTCGAGTGACCTGAGCTGTTGAGAAACAGTTTAGAAGTGCTGCTGCTCTATGCTGTGAGCGTCATTGTAAAGCTCACACATTTAAATTCCGAGTCCTTGGGCAGAATGCTAGGGACATTTTATCCATATCAGATGAAAGATTGCATTAAAGACATTTAAAAGAGCTACTGTGTAATAAATAGCAAATTTGACAATTGGGCACTGCTGTTAGGTGGTTGACCTTGCTTGGTCAGGTCCTTAATGTGGACCTGATTAATAGGACCAATTTCAGTTGGCCTAGCACTAAACCACCACATCATAGTCTGGTGCAGTGATTGAAAATAGAATTTATATGTTGAAGAAAGTGGTTGTGGAACGATTCTATTCTCTCTCACATTTACAAGCACTAAATCCTCTTCACTGCTCTGACAAATGTGCTAGTGATTAGACTGATAATCTCAGTTGTGTTAAAATTGAAAGTTGTAGCTTGACTGTAATTACTTGCCCACACTGTCTAGATTTTATTCATTGGTTGACAGTTTATTCAAGTGAATGACTTGCACTAAAGTGTAAGAGTTTGAGTCTAAAATGAAGCTAATGAAATGACCCACTAATAAACTGTCTTATTATAATTTGCTAAAGAAAACTTTAGAAAGTAAAAACTTTTCAGCCATGTAAAACCCTATGTATTGATTTATATTGAACTCATAGACATACATCTGCCTCTGTCTCCCTAGTGCTGAAATTAAAGGTATATGCCACCATGCCCCCAGCTCCAAACCACATTTTAATAAATGTAAAAATACTTTGATAGGTAAAAATTTTAACATTCTAGTGCTTCAGTTCCATTTCAGTTTGTTAGGTCTGATCTGAGAAATAATTGTGAGTAAGACATGCGACTAAATCATTGAAATGAAAACAGTTTTTGATTTCCCATAGGGAGCAAAAGGGCAAGGCTGTATCAGCTGATGCCTCTCACTCCAGCCCCCAGATCAGAGCACAGGCACTGGCTGGAGACTTGGATTTTGCCCCTGCTTTGGCTTTTGTCCTCTACTGCTCATTAGCTGGGTGACTATGGGCAGGCTGAGTTAGAGTCTGGTCATCATTTTCAAAGTGGCATTTCCCACTGTCTACATTATTGGTTAGAAAAGTGAAATTTATGGGTTGAGGGTGTGGTTCATTGGTGGAGTATATTCTTAACCAGGCACAAAACTGGCTTGGTTCCCTGGCAACACAAACTGGGCATCATGGCAGATGCCTGCAACCCCCACTTACAAGGCTTCACACTTAGTATCATGAGTTCATAGTTACCGTTGGCTATACAGCAACTGCCAGAATAGCCTGGAAAAAAAAAGCCATGGTACACAATCTCAAAACAAAAAATAATACAAAACTTTATAACTTATGAGTCACTTCACAAAATTGGACTGTTGGATTTCATATGGTTAGAATTAACAAAGTTAAACAGATAATATTAGTCATTACATTTGAATTGCAGTGGTTCCATTTGTGAGTTTATGAATGGTAGTGTCTTTTAAATTTTTGTATGAGATGCTGCTATATTAACTTCTTAACAAAATGTGTCCTTCAACCTGAGAAGTGAGTTAGTACTCAGGACTTATATAAATGTTGTATAAAAATATATTGAAATGTAGCCTTTACCACGTAGGAAAGAACTGCTTTTGTTGGCATGTCTACTGTTTTTGAAATTCTCTATTTTAAAACATTTTTAAAAGTTTTTAAAGTTCGCACTGTAACTTTTTATACTACATCTGTGATATGATTTTTTGATTTTTGGTTATTGAATATAGTCCTATTTTTAATAGTGTTTCTCTTTCACTTTAACAGAATAAAATGGTAAGTGTGTATATTACTAGTCAACTGATTTTTTATTGCCTGATTGAAGGAGAACTTAACATTATCTTCATCTTTTTTATCTTTTCCTTAGACATTATTTGACTGTAGAAAATAGATGTATTCAGTAATGCTTTATTGGAGATATTCTTTCCATAGTTTGAGTTAAACAAGGTTGTGGAGCTTTACGAAAAATATAAGGGTATTAACATGATGCTTCTAAAATGGATGGATAAAATTTGGGGTCCTCTAAATTAATTGCTGGGTAAATAGTTCCAGTGGCCATTGAGCACTGTAAAAGTTAAAGCATGCAACTTTTAAAAATTGTTTGAAAAGTCTAATTTTTTATTATTTAACAGACATCCCACTTAAGCAGACTTCATCCATAGCAGTAGCTGGAGCTGTGATTGGAGCTGTCCTGGCCCTCTTCATCATCGCTGTCTTTGTGACTGTGTTGCTAACACCGCGGAAGAAGAGACCTTCCTATCTTGACAAAGTGTAGGTAGCAGTTTTTACTTGTGTTCAGCTGTGAGCATCCATTATCCATTAGCCTTTATGTCCACATTTATGTTACTTATATTCAGTGTTCAACAGATGGAAATAAGGATAGTGTTGGACCACGTTGACTTGATTTCATCAGAACATCTTACACTGTATCCTAGTAAATGAGAGTCGTTACAGGACTGCTGAAAGCAAACGTGTTAGGCAGCTCCTCATCCACAGGCATTAGACTGTAACATGAGGGCCTGCTTGTTGGGGTTTCTGTCCTCAGTTCCCACAGCCAGTAACCCCCAAAGAAAATTACACAGAGGTCTATATTAATTATAAACTGATTGGCCCATTAGCTCAGGCTTCTTATTAACTGTTGTAATGTATATTAACCCATTATTCTTATCTATGTTAGCCACATGGCTCAGTACCTTTTTCAGTGGGGCAGGTCACATCCTGCTTCTTCGGTGTCTGGACAGGACTGGAGAAAGAGCTTCCTCCTTCCTAGAATACTCTGTTGTCATTGCCCCACCTCTACACTTCCTGTCTGGTTGTCCTGCCTATACTTTCTGCCTGGCTACTGGCCAATCAGTGTTTATTTAAAACATAATTGACAGAATACAGAATTGTCCCATACCATTAGACATCTTTCCAAATGCATTGTATTGATAACTTATGTTGTCAAACCTGAATAGAATTCAGACCTGTACTAAGTGCTAATTTCAGTATTAGAAACATCTTAGGTTTAATTGATTATATGTTTGTCTTATATATAGATATAACTAAACTACCAAGAATTATTTTTGAAGACATTCATTTTAAAGCTTTTTTCTTAAGAAAAAAAGTTTTGTTTCATTTAGTTATAAAATAAGCATCTTTTCATTTAAATAATTTTTTTGCCTAATCACTGAAATTAGATTATAAGTATTGTATCTTGTTGAAGAATGTAATGACTAACATATCCTTTCATTTTAATCTTGTCATTATCTCTAACTGTATGATACTTTCCATATTTCACATGGCTGTGTTGGGAACAGAATGATTTTATTTCCTGAACTGAGTAATGGATCTTCCTATGCAATCTGTTGTTGTGTGAGGGCATGAGGCTGGTGTTCAAATTATACATTCCTTTAAAGTGCTTTGGGGTAGACCTCCACTTCTTCAATCTGACAGTCACTGCGCTAGTCTTTTGGGACTATAGACCCTGTCATAATGTAGTCATTGCTGTCAAAGATGATGTAACTGTAGCAGTGTAGCTACTGACATTGTCAGGGCCTGTGTAGGTCAGAATACTGCCTGAATACTGGCAAGCGCATCCTGCCAGGTGACAGGTCAGGCAGCATAATGCCTGAATGCTAACATTCATCATGAGCATAGCTTTGGGTTTATACTTAAATGCTGCTATAAGTTTGTTGCGATTTCATTAAAGAAAAGTGACTGCTTATGAGTAAAAGATGGTAACATGCTGCTTTAATTTGATAATTGTAAAATTGGAGTTCTTTTATAGTAAACTGTTTTATGTACTTATTGAATTATTTTCAATGGAAAATGCTACTTTATTCCCATATTGAGAAATGAGTTGATATGCCACATTTATTATTTAGCATCTAAAGATTTCACTTATTTTATCTATTAATATAGATTACTTTTTATTTTATTTGCTAATCAAAAGTATTGGAAACACAGCTCTAGTCTTCAAATCATTGAAATATATGACAAATTATTTTCTATGAAACATACATCTATAGACTCATAAATGCTTTTAAAATATCTGACATTTAACAAATGTGTGAATATTAGGGAATTTTACAGATAAGATCATCAAAAATATGTTCTTTAAGCAAACCATGGCCCTTTGTCTATTTCAGATAGCATAATTTATCGTGAATTGTACCTGAAAAACTTAACTTTTCAAAAGATTTATTGATTTTTGTTTTCTGTGCATGTTTGTTTTGTCTACATGTATGTCTCTATACCATGCTCTCCCTGATGCGCATGGAGGTCAGGCAAGAAATCAGATCCCTTGGAACTGGGCTTTCAGGTGATTGTGATCATCATGTGGGTGCTGGAAAATTATTATGGATTCTTTGGGAGAACAAGCAGTACTAACTGCTGAGCAGTCTCTCCAGCCCCGAGGTGGCTCTTTTGAAAATCCATCTTGGAAAGCAGTTCCATACTATAAGCCTTTGTCAATTTTCCATGTCACTTCTATGACCATTTGGAAAAACATAATAGCGCACACATTGGGGGTTGGAGAGATGGCTTAATGACGTAAGAGTGCTTGTTGCTTCAGGAGAGGCTCTGACTTTGGGTCTAAGCACCCACTCCTGGAGGCTCACAACCACCAGTAATTTTGACTGCATGGATCTGACCCCTCTTTCGTCCTCTGTGGGCATCAACTTACATGTGACAGATATATAGACATATGCACAGATACATAAATAAAGATCTTTTAAAAATACTATCTTTAGCCGGGCGGTGGTGGTGCACACCTTTAATCCCAGCACTTGGGAGGCAGAGGCAGGCGGATCTCTGTGAGTTCTAGGCCAGCCTGGTCTACAAGAGCTAGTTCCAGGACAGGGACCAAAAGCTACGGAAAAACCCTGTCTCGAAAATCCAAAAAAAAAAAAAAAATACTATCTTTAAAATGTTTGTCATTGTAATCAGAGGTGAAAATATGCCAAACTTAAGCAGGTGGCTCATGCACAAGATACTTGTTTAATAATAAAATTTTCAGTGTTTCTATTTTAATTGTTTCTTTAATGTGAATAAGTTAGTTTGGTGTTGAAGTATTGGAAACAGTGATAACTTTTTATTTCCTGACACATTGACAGAATATAACTTAATTAAGCATGCAGAGTAGAAAGAATGGTTATGTATTATAGTATGAAGAAAACATCCTTCAGATTTGTGAGAACCTTGTTTTCTTTGTTTTTCCCCCTGGAACCCCCTCACACACTTCTGTTTAATATTTTGAACACAGAATTGACCTTCCACCTACACATAAGCCGCCCCCTGTGTATGAAGAACGAGTTTCTTCTCTGCCTCAAAAAGGCCTTCTGTGTCAGGTACGTGTTTGTGAAGACACTTAACATCACCTGAACTATCTTCTGAAAATCTGCCCTGCTGTTGCAGTGCACAACTGTGACCCATGCACGTGAGAAACTGGAACAAGAGGACCGGAAGTTAAAGTCATCCTTGGCTACACAGTGAGTTCGAGGCCAGCCTGGCCTGCAGGAGACCCCATTGTGAAAATTGAAGTGAATAAATTTTTTTAACTCTATTCCATCTGTATTAATTTTTCAAAGCATCATTTTCTATTTTGTAATGGCGCATACTTTTTAACATGTTCATGTACTCTGAAGCCTGTGAGTGATGAGTCAGACTTAGTGTGTGCGTTAGTGAGAAACGAGACGGCTAGTATGTGGCAGGAAGTCACTGCTGTACTGGTCCTTCCGAAAAGCTGCAGTTAGAGACTGGCTGTGGATGCAGTGTATTGACCCACAGATCTATTGTAAACAATAGGCATTTTTATGTGAATAAAAAGTAAAGACCCTGAGTGTCTTTGGTAGATTGTTGTGGACATCTGCTTTTCTTTGAGCCCCGCAGTTTACTCTTCCTTTTCATATGAAAAGGTCTAAATTTTAGCATTCCCTCATTGAGAAACAGGTGGTGTATGTTCCAGTTTAAAACAGTGAAAACGAGCATTGGATCCTCACACTACATTTATGGTGACTTCAGCATTTCTGCTGGAGTCTGTGCAGTAGCCCATGTGCAGGTTCAACACTTGTCATCTTGGGTCAATACCTGGGCTAATATTTTTGCTTGATGTTTTAGAAAGATTAAAACAAATACTTGAATTCTTTCATTCTCAACTGCAGTGTTTTTGTTCTTTGTTTACTGTTTTAGTTTATTTTGCTACCATTTTCTCTGTTGTTTAGACAGTGTATTGGGTTCTCACCTTGTATCTGAGATTTGCCTCGATTAGTCTGTTTTCCTTAAAAGGTATGCCCTGGATCTTCACCCTGAATATTGTCTGAATACACACAGCACTTAATTTGGTGGGGAACTGCAAAGAAATGGTTCTGTGAAGATATCTTTGCTTCTGTTCTTCACTCACTCACCATACAGTCAGTCTGCTGTTAGCATGGGTGAGGCAGGCAGGAATGTGGAGCACCTGCCATGTAACAGTGGCAGTGACTCCTGCTTCGCTGTCCTCCGGGACATGGAATGTGTCATCTTTCCAGAGCTCTGTTTCACACAAAGTATAGCCTTTAGCAAATAAATAAAAGTGATAAATAGCATGAAATGCCTTTGGAAACCTTGACCAGAACTGCTAAATTGTACGTTAATCTGTGGGTGTCCAGAGTCTGTTGTGCTGATTTTTCTTAGGATATTATTATTAGTCTTTAGAATAACCTTAATTGAATATAATTTAAGTGTTGTCAGGAAAATCAGTTCGTATGAAACTTACTATTTGTATTTTCAAGATGACTTTATAGAAGCTTGAGTTAAAAAAAATTATTTGGTTCAGATCATATGTATTGGGCTTTAGTTAAAATATAACTGTTACATGTATACTATAAGACACTGCATAAAACCAAAAGGAAGGTGTAATACCTTGCATGACTGGAACTGACAGTGAAGCAGAGGGCTTCCAGGATGGCTTGGCTGGGATGGTACAAGATAAAGTACTCAGAAAAAATAATTAATTCAATTGTTGTAAGTTTAGTAACAGGAATAATCCTGAGCAGATGAAGGATGACATTAAAATGTAGTCAATACCTTTTGTCAAAGCAAACTTGATGGGAAAACACCTATAAACAGATTAGCAGTGTCGGCTGTTTAGAAGTAAGCAACCAGTTATTATTGCAATTTTTTCCTCATTCAATTTGAGCCGTGAAAAGCATTAGTCACCAATGTTTTCTTCTAAATCTAAAGCCAAATCTATAAAATATAGGAGAATCAGAACGTGAGTTGGACATGAAATCAGTCGTATTCTATATTCTTTTAAAGGTGCATCTAGAGATAGAGTTAAAGCTCTGGAAAATTAATTTATTATTGTGACACTCCTATTACAAATACTGTCTTCCACTGTTTGTGTGCATATGTTTGAGTTTATTTTACAAAAGAAATGCAAAGCATATATACGTTTCTTGGTTACTATGGAATCTGTGAGTTTATGGTGGCCATGCTCTTATTCAAAAAATAACAACTTTAATAGTTTCTACTTGAATTCATTACTTAGCTCTCACAACCAGCCTGATGACATGTGTGTCATGTTCCCTAAAGGCCAGCCTAACTTTAAGGAACAGTCTGATGTCAACATTAAAAACCACTCTCTCCTCAAAGAAGATAAAAGACAGTTTATTCTTGAGTCAAATATGGATGCCCACAGCCCAGAAACAGAGTAGCCTCAAATGACATGCGCCAGTGTAGACACGAGGTTAGAACAAAAGAAAATCTTAAATTGAGACACAATCTCAAACACACTGGTGGAATCATGAAGCAGATAGACTCCAGCAGAGTGCAGACTTCTCTAATGTAGGCGCTCCGTGCTTTGTGATGGTGTTCATACCTTTGCAGTTGGTGGAAGCTACTTGTCTGTTATGTTAATGCATTATTAGAACTTTGACCGCGTGAACACAAGAACATTAGGTCTATCACTGAAGTGGCAGTGAATGTCTATTAAGGGGATTAACCATTGACTTTAGATCTGGAGCGTTCCAACAATCAAATTCTGATCCATCAGTCAGCGTTGTTGAATCTTTATAGTGAGTGCGACTCTTTTTCTGAGAGTTTGTTTGTGCTGACCTTTTCATTGGTGGTTTTCCTTGAGAAACTATGGAAAGAAATGATTCCTACCCATGTATGCTAGCTCACTGTGATGAGTAGTAGTTACTTCGGTGGCAGTGCCTGCATTAATCCCTGAGAGCTTTCCCTCCAGATATAAGTTATTCAGGAAAATGAACCCTGGAAGTGTGAAGAGACACTTTTCTTGAGTGGGAACTGTTCTCATACAGAGAAGATGTCTGGAGGGGCCTTGCACATATTCAGGAAATCAGAAGAGATGTTTTGTCTGAAAGCAAAGAGCACTTAAATATACCAGCGTGTCTTCTTCATAAATGAACATCTGACAGAAGTGATCTTTATTTATGAAACATACAAGGTTGCAACACTAAACTGTGTCTTACCATTTTATGATGGTCTATTTTTCTTGTATTCCATACACAAGGATACTCATCATATAAAATATAAATTACAGTCTTACAGAAATTTAAAAGATCAGTTGTGCAAATCTGTTTTTCATCCCCCCAGTCCCTTTCCCTTAGACAACACTGCTGCTGAAGATTTAAACTTCTGCCACACTCCTCTCCATAACCTAACTTCATACATGTTCATATTTCCCTGTGAATGATTATTTTAAAACAGGTAGAGCTATAAGTACATATTTTCTTTGAAAATTTTTTTCTCTTATTCATTATGTCTTCCATGATAATGTATTTTTCAGACTGACCAATGCAGTTGGCTTTATCAAGATACTCTGGGTTATTCAATGAGTATTCACAAACACAGCTTCAATTACTTTGGATTGTTAACAGTTAGCATGCCCCTGCCAACTAGGTGTTTTAACGGAATTCAAGACTAAGTTCTGTTTGTATATCTCTGTCCCACTCAGGGTGACTTTCAAATTATTCCATTACATTGATACATAAAATTCATCCAATTACATCCTTATTTTTGTTACAGAATTATAGTGAAAATATTTTATGCCTTTTGTTTTGTTTGTGTATTCATGAGAATTATGCCAAGAAGTAGAATCACTGTATTTTTTACAAAAGGTGTCATATTATCAGCCACAGTATACATTCTTACATATAGCATACGAAACCTGTTTCCCTCTCTGTCGTGTAGCATGAGGTGTTCTGTGGGCGTTATAACTAAACATTCCGTGGATTCTTGGGTGAAGTGGAACCTAGTTACCAGTTACTATTTGCACTCCCCCCCCCATTTTTGTGTTTTGAGTTTTTGATTGATTCTTTTTTTAGGAATTCTGATGTAAATGTGGTCCTTTGTCTAACATTATTTCCTTTTTTTTTTTTTTTTTTTTTTTTTGGTTTTTCGAGACAGGGTTTCTGGAAACCTGCCTCTGCCTCCCGATCCGCCTGCCTCTGCCTCCAGAGTGCTGGGATTAAAGGCGTGCGCCACCACCGCCCGGCTATTTCCTATTTTTTAAATTCGTGGTGTTGTGTAGGATTTCTGCAACCAGATCAATTTCTTGTATTTATTCGGAGGTTGTATTTTGGTCTGAACAAGTTTCCTTTCTATCTCTCCTGGCCAGAGTATATTTTTAAATCTTAGAAATATCTGATGGGTTTTATGTTTTACTTTACAATTGCAAATTTTGTGTTTGGGATTTCAAGTAGAGGCCTGTTCTAACCAGTGAGATGAGCAGTCGTTCACATTTCTGAGATTTTGTCTAAGTATGTTATATTTTTGTGTTCTCTTCCTAAACCATGAGTTGGTGATATGATTTACTATTTACTGGAGCAAATTTCTTTGTCAGTTTTTCCTTTGACTTTATAAGTTACTCCCCAGACTTCATAAAACCATGTATTGAAGTTAAGGATTACTTTAATGCAATCTGACAACTGAGTGGTAACACAACTCAAGAAATCACAGAGGCCTTCATGCTGGTGTTTCTTTCTGAAAAGAAATTACATTTCCTCTCTGGAGCATGTGTTTGGTTTTCTCTTTAGGTTTATTGTACACAGATTAAGCATTTTGATCGCCAGTGGTGCTCCCTGTCTCTACCTCCATGGCTCCTTCTAGAGGGTTGTTGCTAACATGTACAAAGATTCATACTAAAACCACATAGGATTTTTTTTAATATTAGTCCTTGTAGTATACATGTAAAGCTGTCATCTGTCAGATGACTTTAGCAAATGCAAAACTTTTAACAGTACTGAAAATAATGTTTGAGTAGTATTTCTATTGTAAGACTGACTATAGAGAACATTTTCTATGATTGGGGTGTGGAGGGGCATATGTATAGATGTTCTGTACT